GCCTCCCAGCACCGGGATCAGCGGAGCCATGAGGCCTCCCGGCACCGGGATAAGCGTGACAGGGGGCAGTGCCCAAACCCCCTGATCGCCCTGCGGCTCTGTGTGTGACAGGGGGTGGGGCCACAACCTTCCTATCCGCCCTGCTCTGTTTGTGACAGGGGAAGGCGCCCCAACCCCCTGATCAGCCCTGCTCTGTGCCTGATATGGGGGAGCTTCCCCCCCCCCCCCCACGGGCCCTGCTCTGTGTGTGACGGGGTAGAGCCATAACCTCCCCATTGGCCCTGCCCTGAGTGTGACAGTGGCGGCGCCCCAACCCCCTGATCGGCCCTGCTCTGTGGGTGATAGAGGGCGGTGCCCCAACGCCCTGATTGGCCCTGCTCTGTGCGTGACAGGGTACAGAGCCCTAATCCCCTGATTGGCCCTGCTCTGTGCGTGACAGGGGGTGGCGCCGCAACCTCCCCATCGACCCTGCCTTGAGTGTGACGGGACGGTGCCCCAACCCCCCCAATCGGCCCTGCTCTGAGCCCTACCAGGGGCTGCACCTAGGGATTGGGCCTGCCCTCTGCCACCCGGGAGCAGGCCTAAGCCAGCAGGTTGTTATCTCCCGAGGGGTCCCAGACTGCCAGAGGGCACAGGCCGGGCTGAGGGGCCCCCCTTCCCCCCCGAGTGCACAAATTTTTGTGCACCGGGCCTCTAGTCATTAGCATATTATGCTTTGGTTGAACAGATGACCGGACACTTAGCATATTAGACTTTGATTATATAGGATAAATTTGACTCAGTATATGTCCATTTATTCTAAATTTAGCAAGTTTTCAGCTTCTATCCTGTGCTTATGTCATAAGAGACACTATAATAACTTAAATTTATTACCTCATTTTCCTATATTGTATACTCAAAAGGCATGATACCTTCTCCCCATCTTTATCAGCACCTAGGACAGTGCATATTACATAGTGGGTTTTTATGAATTTTGATTTGGATTTGTTTGGGGTCTTTATATAAAAATAATACAAATCCTTTACAGCCATATTGGGGAGAAGAGCCAAAACACATATTGAAAAAATTAGCAAATTAGATGGTAGATCTGGAAATGTCAATATTCTAGTACCAAAATATGACTCTCAGACCAGCAGCAGCAGCATCTGGAAGCTTAGTTATAAATGCAGAATCTCAGGCTCCATCTCAAAACTACTGAATCAGAGTCTGCATTTTAACAAGATTCCCAAAGGGGCTCACATATATATTAAAGTTAAAGAAGTACTGTTTTATCTAGTACATTGTTCAAAGAAGGGAGAAAAGATTTGAGCTGGATGAGTGAGGAGAGGTGAGTGAGCTCAGGCTTGAGGCCAGGTCAGCTAAAGATAACGGTGGTTTAAGCAGAGATGTGCTAAGAGTGGTTCAGGTGGTAGAGATTTCGCACTGGGAGTTAGGTGTTGGTAAAGATAAATTGAATAGATAAATTGGAACCAGTAGTAAGGAGATCTGACTGTCAGGCTAATGAATTTTCATTCGATACTCTAGCAGTAGTCATTGAGGAGTTTTGACCTGAAAAGTAATACGCGGAAAGAGCAGCATTTTAGGAACGTTCACCTAGTGATGGTGCCCAGGAACACTGGAAGTGTGAGAGTATAAACAAGGAAATAAATGAAGTAATTTTAGTAAAGTAGGCATCAAGCAATGAAAACCTGGTCTAAGGATATGGCCGAGAGAATAGAAATGACTGAAAGAATAGGAGAGGCATTTCAAAGAAGAAGAGAAAAATAGTATTGGGTTACTTACTATATTGGAGTAATAGGTAATTTAAGTAGCGGTACTATTGACAGATATGGGATATTAAGAGTAATCTGGTGGGGATTGAGTATTTAATTGCACACAAAAACCTCCTAACTAGCTTCTATTTTTATCTTCACTGACAAGGTCAATCTTTTTTTTTTTTTTAATATATTTTATTGATTTTTTACAGAGAGGAAGGGAGAGAGATAGAGAGTTAGAAACATCGATGAGAGAGAAACATCGACCAGCTGCCTCCTGCACACCCCCCACTGGGGATGTGCCCTCAACACAGGTACATGCCCTTGTCCGGAATCGAACCCGGGACCCTTCAGTCCGCAGGCCGACACTCTAGCCACTGAGCCAAACCGGTTAGGGCGCACTTCCTGGACTTGTACTAGTATGTATACTTCCTTCACCAAGTTAGGGAAGTTTTCTGTCATTTTTTCAAATAGGTTTTCAATTTCCTTTTTTTAAAAAATTGATTTCAGAGAGGAATGAAGAAGGAGAGAGAGAGACAGAAACATTAATGATGAGAGAGAATCATTGATAGGCTGCCTCTCGCATGCCCCCCATGTGGGATTAAGCCCGCATGTGCCCTGACAGGATTGAACAGTGACCTCCTGGTTCATAGGTTGACACTCAACCACTGAGCCACACCAGTCGGGCTCGCTCTCTTTTCCTTCCAGCACTACATGTTGTGAACGTTGGTATGCTTAAAGTTGTCCCAGAGGCTCCATACACTATCCTCATTTTTAAAAATATATATATTTTTATTGATTTCAGAGAGGAAGGGAGAGGGAGAGAGAGATAGAAACATCAATGATGAGAGAGAATCATTGATCAGCTGCCTCCCACATGTCCCCTACTGGGGATGGAGCCTGGAATCCGGAAATGTGCCCTGACCGGGACTCGAACCTGGGACCCTTCAGTCTGTAGGCCGATGCTCTATCCACTGAGCAAAACTGGCCAGGGCTGTGGGGTTTCTTATATGTTACTTTAATTTTTTAATAAGTTTGAAATTTTCCAAAATCTGAAGTTTATAAAAGTAAAGGTAGGGTTTAATCCAGGTATCTATGACTATATGTTAACTCTTATCCATTATAACATTGTTTCCCAGAATGTGGTTATATCACTACATAAGAGGCTTTCTGTGGCATGTGGGGAGTATTTTAATATTTATATATTCATCTCAATGTTACCTTCTCTCTTTTTTTTTTTTAAACTTCAACAACCTTTTACTACCAAACTGTTGCAGGTTTAACTTTGAGCCCAGCTAACAGCATCTCTAACAGGACCTAGGATGGAGGTTCAGCCCTAATAAAGATGGTCTCTTAAAGGATTAAAAAAAATACAAAAATCCACATAGAAATTTAACTGTGACCTCCTGGTTCATAGGTCGACCCTCAACCACTGAGCCACATCGGCCGAGCATATAAGTATTTTTTTAAGAGTGAAATTCCCCAGTGTTGCAGAAAATGGTCTCCTAAAGTGATTTCAGTCCAGGAAAAAAAAACAGCATTTAGCACTATGCTGCCTTTTCTCCCAGTTCAAGATACACATGGAAGAAAACCATTTCCCTTCTTAAAACAAAACAAAACCCTTTCTCCTCCTGTTCAACTTCCACTGCTTATTCCTAGAAACACCCGGAGAACAATATAAACAAGGCCCCGCCCACTTCTCTCCTGGCCTCACCTGTCCGGCCCACTTCTCTCCTGGCCTCACCTGTCCGAAGGCTCGCAGCAGGGATTGTTCCTGAGGAATTTTCTTTGCTACTATCAGGAAACTGACCCCTAATTTCTGGGAACCGGCCAACAAAAATCCCATTTCCTTACAGGAGGGGCCTGAGGGCTCTAAAGGATCAAAGGGCAGTGGACCTGGCCCATGTGCCAAGGGGTCCTTTCTATATAAAAACACCCACTTTATAACCTAACGTTGAACCTACAGGTAAAAGCGAGCAGCAGATGACTTAGATACGAAAAAGGTGCTTATCTCCCCATCTTTAACCATAAAGGAAACAGAGGGGAGGAGAGTTCAGAAAAGAATTTGACCTCCTCTCCTTTCCCAAAACTTTGATGTGTCTTCTAAGCCAAAGCCAAGTTCCTGAGACAGACACGTGGGCACAGGGCAGAGTTTCTGCCGGATAGCGCTGCCGCTCCTGGGCTGCCTGGCCTCCTGGCCAGCCAGGCGCAAGGCCCCTTTACTGAACGGTTCTCCCTGGTGTGCATCGTGCGTAAGGATCACTAGGGCAATTATTTTCTCAGTTCAACTTCGTCACAGACAAATACTTCAACAGCAGCTTCTAGAAACTGCCCGGAGGGCCCTCCCACCCCCCTTTTCAGGGTCACAGATCCTTCCAGTTGATGGGCTCCTTGCCAGATTTTTGCAGCAGCTCGTTGGTTTTAGAGAAATGTCTGCCCCCAGAGAACCCTCTGTACACGGACAGTGGGCAGGGATGGGTAGGGGTGGGCGGTCTGCAGGTGCGATGGTGCTTCCTATGGATGGCACTGCCCTTCCTCTGCGCATGGGAGCCCCAGAGCATGAGGACGAGGCCACTCGAGTTGTGCTTTAGCCAGGACACACCCGCCTCGGGGAACTGCGCCCAGCCCTTCTCTGTACCAGACCTGGCCTGATGCGCGGAGACTGAGAGGACAGCGTGGAGGAGAACACCTTCCCTGGCCCGCCCAGGCCCATCTCCACGGCCAGGACGCACAGCACCATCCATGTCTGGGGACGGCGCGCCATGAATGTCTTCCTCGCCGCGCGCGGAGGAGGAGCAGCCGTGAGCTTGACTGGGCCCATGACGTGGATCCCGGCCCAGGGTGACACCTGCACGGCTCCTGTGCTGCGCATTTGGGTGCACGTGAAGACGCCTGGCGTGGATACACTGTGATGTCTTCTTCTGCAGCAAATCCCATTAGCATCGTAAAACACGGCTTCCGAACCCGCCGCTAGGTGCTGCTTCCAACTCGCACCGAAACCCACCGGCGGGTTGCGAGCCGCGAGTCTCAGCAGGTCGGCGGCCTTGTTCCGGATGCGGACCGACTGCTGGGGCGGTGGGTGTGCCGGGCCCCGCCTGCTCCGCCCGGGCCTTCTCGGCGGGGCTCCCCGCTGCGTCCCCGCTCTCGGGTCGGCCGGCTCCGCAGGCTCGGGCCTGCGGGCACGTGGCTTCCTGGCGGGGCTGGGGGGGTGGGAGGAGAGCGGCTTCTGGCCGATCACCCCGAAGCTGGATCACCCCGAAGCTGCCCGGTCCCCGCGAGGCTGGGGGAAGCCGAGGCGCCCGGAGACTCCCACCGAGGGGGGTGGGCTGGTCGGGGGCCATGTGACCTCCTCTTTGTGGCAAGAAGACTATTTCACGTTTTCCCTGTATGGAAGTAATATAAAGCAACTTTAAAAATAGTTTTAAGTGAAAAATAAATTGGCTTAAAAGAAAATAGTTCATAAATAGAAGTACTGGTAGTATTGAGATACGACAAGAATTGTATGGTATGAGCAGAATGGTGTTGGAACGCTTGCTCTGCTCTCCTGACCCAATGGTACCAATGATGAGATGAAGAAACATGTTATCAGCGTTGCTTTTACCAGCCCCAATACCCACATTTGAATGCCAGCCAGACTCTTGAAAGAAGGTGTATTTTTTTATAAGATCCTATGACAGTGTGTGTCTACAAAGGCCGTAACTTGTATAAGAAATCACAGAGGACTTTTTTTATTGTTACAGAATGTCCTATCCAGGCTATCCCCCCACGGGCTACCCGCCTTTCCCTGGATACCCTGTAAGTATTGCCCCTTAAATACTAAAATAGGTCATTCCCTGGAGCAGGTGCTGTAGGACTAGCCCTTGACCGAGCTGACAGATAGGCCAGAGCAGGGCTCATCAATCCGCATGCCCGAGTGCATGGGGGTGCTGTGGGGGACAGAGCATCTGCATGCCCTGCGGAAAGCCAGCAGCTCTCGGCCTCAGTCTGATACGGCCACGCGGGGAGGCAGGCCCAGTGAGGCCAGGCCCTGCATTTCGTCAGGTAAAACAAGCAATCTGGATTTTGTTGAAATTGACCCAATTTGAAAAATTGGGAAAATAATTTTTTTTTATTTCTTCCCATTTGGCTCCGTCCCCCCCCCCCCTCCCGCCCCCCCAATGTGGTGGCCTTTCACACTTGGCTCTCTACGAGGGAATTACTTTCTTTAAATGTTAAATGCTGTATGAGTCAATCAAATGTGTGTAAGCTAAATTCATCCCGTGAGTCACCGTTTGGTTGGTGTTTGTTGTTGTTTTTGAGTCACTGTTTTTTAACCTTTGTGTTAGAAGGTTTAAAATAACTAGGAAGGTCTTGACTCCGAGATAACAGATTGCAGTGGATTAGAGGGTCCTTGATTTGTAGTCCTGAGACTAGTGTTTGGAGTACATTTTATCAACGTGCTGTCAAGTTCTGCCTGGTTGATGTCTGTACTCTGAGGACTAAACTTACAGCTGAGGCCTAAGTGAGAATCATACATTTCAGTTTTACGCTCATAAGAATGCAGGGCTTGTTTCTGACAGAGAGTAGGAAGAGGGGCCTGCAGATTAATGATAATGTGTGTGTCCTTATGTAAAGTGAATATATAGCTGGATTTATCAGAGGAGAGATGAGAATTACTGCTGTTTCCAGATGCCTGTGTACTACACTAGACTCTGGCCATCATTTTCGTCAGTGTAGGGTCATTGCTGAAACAGACAACTCAGCCACCTCAGTGACTGGATGCAAGAAAAGCTCATTTCTTCCTTCAGGCTCCTGGAAGCCCATGGGGGTGAGGGAGGGGGCGGGGAGAAGCCTTTGTTCCAGGTGGTCTTCAGGTTCCTAGGCTCCTTCCAGGTATTGGCTCTGTCACCCTAGCACCTTGGAGTCCTCCGCTTGGACCCTCTGCTTCAGCTGCAGATGAAGGAAAAGAGAGAGGAGGGAAGAGAGTAGGTTTTTAGGGGCCCGGCTGGAAGTGGTGTATATCACTGCCTGCATTCATTCACCGGTATTCAGTCATGCGTCCTACTGAACTGCAGGGAGGTCTGGGAAATGTAGTCTAGCTTTGTGGCCAGGGGAGGAAGTTGAGTGAACACCTGACAGTCTCTGCCTCACTTAGACGTTGTCTGTTCTGAACCCACGTGTGACTCAGGTCACCTTTATTTTTCTGTTGTGTAACAGGTCCAGGTGTGTTGCAGGCGAACGAGGAATTTCTTACTTTAGGGTGGAGAGGTGGATCTTTCTCATATTTCTAGGTGCTAGGAAATTGAAGGAACTAATGAGCTTTGTGACTTGTTCCTGAGGGTTTGGAAGGAGCCTGGTTCTTACTCCCAAATAGAGAAACAGACGCCCCGACAACGTAGAATGAAATTTAACTGAGTTCTGAGAGACAAGTGTCCTGAAAAATATAGGATATTCATAAACTAGGGTAAGATACCAAGACTTCTAATGGGGCTTTTAATATGTAAAAGAACAAGCTAGCCCTTAACAGTTACAGCTGTTGGTTCCCTTTTTTAGGTGGGTCGTATTTCTCTAGGGTCACATTCATTTGAAAATACTTTTCTGGTTTTGCAGCCGGCGGGTCAGGAGTCATCGTTTCCCCCTCCTGGGCAGTATCCTTATCCTAGTGGCTTTCCTCCCATGGGAGGAGGTGCCTACCCCGCAGCGCCAGGTAGTGGCTACCCCGGAGCTGGAGGCTACCCTGCTCCCGGTGGCTATCCAGCCCCCGGGGGCTACCCTGGCGCCCCACAGCCAGGAGGGGCCCCATCCTATCCAGGAGGTGAGTGATGGGTCGAGGCATCATGGTGGTTTGGTTGCTACAGCACTTTTTCCTTCTCCCCTTTATCCTCCTCATTCCTGCTTGTTTTGTATGAGGTCAGAATAGCTCTTGGCCTGCTTTCTGCCTTAGACAGCAAGGACACAGCTGGCAACATAGAAGGTAAACGTTCTCAGGGGGCCTAGCAACTGGGAGCAAGCTCAAAAATTAGGAAAGAAATTGGAAGAAATCTCATGGTAATAAAAGATCAATATATAACAGTTTGATTATTTATAATTTTAGAAGTTATTAAGGCTTTTTTCCCCCCTAATCCTCACCGGAGGATATATTTTTACTGATTTTAGAAAAGGGGAGAGAGAGAGAGACATTGATGTATAAGAGAAACATCGATCGATCTGTTGCCTCCTGTTGTGCCCTTTCCGGTGATGGGATCGAACCCGCAACCTAGGTATGTGCCCTGACCGGGCATCAAACCAGCCACCTTTTGGTGCATGGGATGATGCTTCAATCAACGGAGCCACACCAGCCAGGGCAGATTAAGGCATTTCAGTTAGCATGGTTGTGACCTTTAGAATAGCTTTGTCCAGAGGGGAAAAAAGTAACTTAGCATTTTTATACGGTAATTTACTAAGGCAAATGAATGAAGTAAAATTTTAAGTTTATTATTTAATGGGGAAGGAGTTGGTGAGAAATTGAATTTAGACCAAAAGGGGCCAGAAGCATTAATAGCACCTTCCCCCCCCCCCCCCCACTGTTAATAGTAGATATTTTTCTGAAGTTTTCTCTTTAGTCATGAGAACTGTCACTAGAGTTGATTCTTTCTCTAGTTCCTCCAGGCCAAGGGTTTGGAGCCCCGCCAGGTGGAGCAGGCTTTCCTGGCTATGCACAGCCTTTTGGAGGCGTCCCAGCACAGGTCCCCCTACCTGGTATGTACCTGCTGTGCAGAGACAGCAACAGCATGATAGTGTGAATTTTTCAGTTGCCACTGAGAGAGATTAGTTTCTGTTTGTCAACAAACATTTATCTTAAGTACCTTTGTAAATAAATTTAAGTACATGGTTTCATGAGATGTATTAATTTGGTGGAAAAATATAATTAGTAAGATTGAAATAAGACCCACTTTTTCAATTAAAAAAAGAATGTCCCAAAGCCAAAAAAGCAAAACCTTGTGGAACTTCTCTGCTCACTCCTGTACCACAGATGAAACCACCCCCGGAACTGTGTCCTCACATCCTCTCCAGATGGAATCAGAATTTAATCTGACTCAAGTGTTTTAAAGAAAAGTGTATTTGTTAGGATATGATGTAGGACATGGAATATTTTAAAAGGCTCTTATGACCTAGTTTGTTGTAGATTTAGTAAGTTATACTGAAAAATTATCCTAGTGAATAACATGGGAATGTTCTTATATATTTACATAATTCATAATAACCAGTGCTGTTTTGAAAAATTAAGCCATATAAAACCTGTTTTTCTGGATGTTTTTAAACGTGTAGGTGGCTATCCCGGAGGACAGATGCCTTCTCAGTATCCTGGAGGACAAGCTCCTTACTCTTCTCAGGTATTGTTGCGCCTGCCTTTTAAAAAAAAAAAAAATATTTTATTGATTTTTTACAGAGAGGAAGGGAGAGGGATAGAGAGTTAGAAACATCAATGAGAGAGAAGCATCGATCAGCTGCCTCCTGCACACCCCCACTGGGGATGTGCCCGCAACCAAGGTACATGCCCTTGGCCGGAATCAAACCTGGGACCCTTCAGTCTGCAGGCCGATGCTCTATCCACTGAGCCAAACCAGTTAGGGCTGCTCCTGCCTTTTAAGTTTAGTCGGGGTAACTGACTAATGCCAAAGAAGAGCCCCTCTCCTTGGCCACATTAGAGCACCTCAGGAAGCAGATGAGATGGTCCATAACAGCGATTTTCAACCGGGGCAGGAGCCACAGGAATTTTTGAAACACGCAGTATCTGACTCTTTAGTCAGGGACACTGACCTCTTCTCCCTTAGATTGTCAAATAAAAAAACGACAACAGCCAACACAACCATAGCCACCCAGTATGAATGAATAAAAATTATACCTTTTTTTTTGGTCAGATCAGCAAAAAAGATAGTATGTTTTTTGGTGGGCTGCAGAATTTTAGTAGTCAGTTTGTGTGTGCCATGAGATGAGAAGGTTGAAAGTCGCTGTTCTATAACATCACCTAAGACTGTAAACTTTGCTTCCGATAGACTCCATGCTCTCTTTGGTTCATCTGCTGTGAGTAGTGGCCTGATGACTTCGATAAGACAAACCTAGGTCCCTTCTCACAGGTGCTAATACTTACAATTTTTTCACAGAGATTTGCTTGGGCTCTTAGCAGGGGTTTTAGTCGTCTTTTCTCCCTTCCTCCACTGGCAGTTATGAATACCAACTTGGGTGACTGGCGTTTCTGGCACTGTTTCATATAGTGTGGTTTTGTCTTCCATTTTTACCTTTATAACTCTCCGCTCTTCTTTCAGATCAATACAGAATCCTTTCCTTCCTATCCTGTTTTCTCTCCTGCTTCTTTGGATAATAGCAGTGAAGTGAGTAAGGTTTTCTGGTGTTCACTAATTTCTAGTTTCCCTACATAAGCCTTCATTTGTTTCTGATTTCTTGTGTATTTGTGTCTCACCACTTCCTGGGGCCCAACTGTATTCTGGTTTACCTTGATGTCCCTGTAGTGCTTGGCAGCGCTTTAAACATGGTAACCAATTAATTGTTGAATTGATTTCTCAATAGCCCCAGAAAGTCTCCTGTATGTCAAATCTTTGCCTCATCTCTGTATAGCTCCTTGTTTTAACATTTTTATTCTTTAATTGCAATGTTAATTCTTTCTATCTTTTGCAAGTTACCAGGAACATAAACAGTGTGCTTTTATGCTTTCTTTTATTTATTTATTCTTGCCAAAGGATATGTTCATTGATTTTATTTTGTTTTTTATTTTTTTTGTTAATCCTCACCCGAGGGTATTTTTCCATTGATATTTTAGGGAGAGTGGAAGAGAGAGGGAAAGAGAGAGAGCAACACATGGGTTGGTTGCCTCCTGCACGCACCCCAACCAGGGCTGGGTTGGGGAGGAGCCTGCAACCAAGGTATGTGCCCTTAACTGGAATCGAATCCGGGATCCTTTGGCCTGCAGGCCGAGAATACTGTATCCACTGAGCCAAACCGGCTAGGGCTGTTTATTTATTTTAGAGAGAGAAAGAAGGAGAGGGAGGTGGAGGGGGGGAAGAAGCTGGGGAGGAGAGGGGAGGGCGGGGGAAACATTGATAGGCTGCCTTTTGTATGTGCCCCGACCTGAGATGGAACCCCTAGCCTGGGTATGTGCCTGACTGGGAATCAAATCCCCCACCTTTGGTGTACAGGATGACGCTCCAACCAACTGAGCCACCTGGCCAAGGCAATATGCTTATTTATTTTTATCCTGTCTTTTCATAAAGATTAGCATTTTCAAGCGTTTTTTTTGTTTTGTTTTTTTAATATATTTTATTGATTTTTTTACAGAGAGGAAGGGAGAGAGATAGAGAGCTAGAAACATTGATGAGAGAGAAACATCGATCAGCTGCCTCCTGCACATCTCCTACTGGGGATGTGCCCGCAACCCAGGTACATGCTCCTGACCGGAATCGAACCTGGGACCTTTCAGTCCGCAGGCCGACGCTCTATCCACTGAGCCAAACCGGTTTCGGCAACATTTTCAAGCGTTTTTAAGGCTAAGGTGGGAGAGGGATTGATTACAGTATTAGAAGAAAAATACCTTATCCATTTTCTGGCTTACTTTCCTGATTTGAGGAATTTTAGCTCCGGATGGATTAAGAAACTTGTCCAGGGCCACACCACACAGCTAGTGAAAGACAAAGCTGAGACCAGATCCTCGCTGTTCTGACGCTCTGACCAGTGGCTTTCCCGTTACACAGTGCTGCTTTGCTGATAGAGCAAATGACATTCCTCCAAAGCATGTGGTAGATCGTTTTCAGTCCTTTTGTCATTGTTGCAGTTGTGAGTCATATTATAAGTCTTTAGGTATTTTTGATAATTCATGAGAATTTTTAAATTTTAGGTGAAGTATGCATATAATTTTAGAGACGTCATTTTATGACTGAAAGAGAAAAGATTTTTAAACATAAAGCACTAAAAGTAAAACATACACATGCAACTTATTTTGTGTAACAATTACCGTCTTAAGGTAGAGCTAAAACTAATAGATGGAATTAGCAGAGTGGTATGTTTTGAAGAGCTTTTAGGTGGGAGTGGGTTAGGTTACCTTGTGAGGGGTGACTTCCCTGCCACTGAGAATCTTCCAGTAGAGGTAGGTGTGTGGGTGTGTGTGTGTGTGAAGATGTAAAGAAAGTTTCTGTTTTATTTGGGCAGTTGGGTCAGGTAACCTCTTTTGATGAACCCAGTAGTAAGTTTATGGTAGTTTTTCAGCAGGGAGATTGAAATCAAATGGGTATCAAAGGTTGGAACTTTTGGTGGCAGACAGTGTAGACTTTGCTGTGCTGAGAAATCTCCCCTTAGAGTTTTAACCTCAACAGCATGGACCCTGATTTCTTTGAACTTAGTATTACGCCGAAAGGATGAGTGTATCCTTGATGAAGATTCACTTCAAATTAGACTTTCAACAAAGAATAAACAAAACCAGTTTTTCCTAGAGATGCAAAGTGGAATAGTTTTTGTTGTTTTTTTTTTTTTAAGAAAGAATGAGATGACGGAATATGAGAATAATTAGACAGTAATTGATGGGGGTTTAGTTTCACTATCTCGTCCGGTATATTATAAACAAAGGCTTCTTTCCTACTTAGGATGTTAGTGACAGTGATTACATCACAGGAAATTTCCTTAGTTTCCTGATGCATTAAAGACTCATGTAAAGGCAATATGTTGAAAAAAAATTTATACTTGGATATTCTCAACAAGTAAAATAATTTTAGTTTTTTCCTAAAACCACTATACACACAGCTCTTGTTAGTTTTCTACTTAACATTCCTGGCTTAGAAACTAGTGAAGGATTGGTTGGTAAAGCTAATGGGTAGGAGAAAATGTTGTTGTAAGAGTGTGAATGAGTGGGAGGAATTATTGACCACAAATGTTCGTTGAATGATGGCTTGGTCCCCTTCATCCCATTTACTTTGCCCCACAGGTGCTGGCACATTACTGTATTTGATGGGCATGAGTCTAATAAACACAGCTTCTGTTACCTAAAGAGCAATGGAATTGTTTTGTATTTGAAATTATGTCAGTTGCATGTTTAAATGATATTTTAGAGAATAAACAATTATTTAATAAACAAAATTTAATAAACAACTTATTGGGTTAAATAAAATACATTATTAAAATTGAATTTAAAAAAATGTGGTAGGATATCATCTTGTTTCATTCCATTCTTTTTTTAAAAAAAATATATTTTTTATTGATTTCAGAGAGGAAGGGAGAGGGAGAGAGAGAGAGAAACATCAGTGATGAGAGAGGATCATTGACTAGCTGCCTCCTGCATGCCTCCCACTTGGGGATTGAACCCGAATCCCAGGCATGTGTCCTGACTGGGAATCGAACTGGGACCTCCTGGTTCATAGGTCGATGTTCAACCACTGAGCCACGCCAGCCAAGCCATTCTAGTCTTAAGCTCTGATGTGAACTGTTGATGCCCTCAGTAGATAGAGTGACAGCCTCTGGACTGAAGGGTCCCAGGTTCGATGTTTCTATCTCTCTCTCCCTCTCCCTCCTCCTCTCTGAAATCAATAAAAAAATATTTTTAAAAAAGGAAAACTATTGACTTGTTTCATAGTTTTGCATTTTTAATTTTTTTTACTTTTAATTTTGAAGTAATTTTACACTTAAAAAAATTGCAAAAAATATACATAGAATTCCTGTAAACCCTTTAGACTCAGATTCTTCAAATGTTAATTTCTTACATAAAAATAATACAATGATCAAAATCAAGAAATTACACTGATATGATACTATTATCCAGCCATTTCACTAATTGCCCCTGCAATGCCCTTTTCTAGTTCAGAATCAAATCCAGGATGAAATATTGCATTTATTGTCATGTCTTTTAAATTTCCTTTAATATGAAACAATCTTTAGTTTTTGTTGTTCATGACCTTGACACTTTCAAAGAGTACTAGTTATTTTGTGTCATATTCCTTAATTTGGGTTTATCTGATATTTCCTCATGATTAAATTCAGGTTATGCCATTTGGGCAAGAATACCACAGAAATGATGTTGTGTTCCCACTGTATCCTACCAGTAGGCACTTACTGTTGACTTATTCTTTTACTGGTAATAATTGATTTTGATCAAACTTTTACCCACTAATTTTAACATCCATTGATGGTTCTTGTCTGAAATAATTATTACTGTGGTATTGTCATCTGGTAATTTTTAAAAATTTCTTCATAGATTTCTGTTTTAAAAATATAGTATCTACTTTACTTTCTGGTTTATTTCCTTATAAAATCTATGAAGAATATTGTACCTCCTGGAATCTCTAATCATCACTTTCATTTGTGCCTTTTTTAGGAGAAGTTTAATAGTGGCAAGGTTTATTAAAGCAAAAAGCGAAAGTATACTCTCGGATAATAAACTTCTAGCCTAAGCACTAGACCAAAAGAAAAAAGAAAAAGTACACTCTAGAGAGAGAGAGAGCGGGCAGGCTAGAGGAAGCTGCTGCCTTTTGTGCTTTTCTTAATATACGATGTTATATTTCGTGTCTAATAATCAGGGCTCTTAGAGGAACTTAAGAGATATTAACCAAATTATATTGCTTATTCAAAACCTCATTGGGCTACTCGTGTTCTATTTTACTAAAGCCATTATTATATTCTTGTCTTTAAATCAAACACTGCTACTCATCTCACACTATCCAGAGATCATCTCTTTTTCTCTTCCTATTTTACCAAGAAGGAATTCCAAGTACAAATTGATGGTTCTCAATCTTTTCCTTACTGTGGGATTCAAGGACACATTATATAGCCCCTGCTTATTCTTGATCCTTTGCATCATCTTCTACTCCTCTCCTTGCCTCTAAACATATCCTATATCCCAAGGAATTCCAAGTGGGATGCAAGGCACAGGAAGATTGTCACTAATTTTGCCAGCTTTACTAGACTCCTGAAAGTGTGGTAGCTGACTGTCTATTGGCAGGAGGGAGATAAGTCTTTCCTGCCTGTTCCAGTATGAGCTCTGAAACCATTGCTCATATCCTTGGCCTGAAACGCAAACACTGGCCTCTTTGCCTGAGAGTTTTGACTGGGAAGTCTTGAATTATTGTCTTTCCAACAGAAAATCCTGACTTGAATTTTTATTTTGAATTTTTTAATTTTTCTGAGTTTATATGAGCCAAACTGAGGACATATGCCAGGGAGCAAGATTTCAAATGTTCCTCGATTTTTATTTTTAGTTTGTATTTTTTTTTAATTAAAGAAGGTGAACATTTTTTTCATATCCTCCCCCCCTCCCCCAGTTTTATTGAGATGTAATTGACAGATAACCGTATTAGTTTTAGGTGCACAGCATGATGATTTAGTATATGTACATCTTGTGAAATAATTGCCCCAGTAACGGACTTGGATGTTATGCCTCTGTTCTCAGCCTGCCGCCATGACTCAGGGAACTCAAGGAACAATTCGACCAGCTGCCAACTTCGATCCTATGAGAGATGCAGAAATTCTTCGTAAAGCAATGAAGGGCTTTGGTAAGGAAAATGGATTTTTGTCTTATTTATAATAAGTTTAAGTGATTAAAGTAAAAATAAGCTTTCTATCATAAACCAACTGTATGTGTCAGCCCGTGGGCACATTCCTCCGTTTGATCTGGCACCAGTTACCTTATAAACATTTAAGTGATTTCCTCAAGGAACATCCAGTGCACTTTATTCTTACTTAAACATGTTTGGTTCTTTCAGGGACAGACGAACAGGCAATTGTGGATGTCGTGTCCACCCGGTCCAATGATCAAAGGCAAAAAATTAAAGCAGCTTTTAAGACCATGTATGGAAAGGTAATTTTTTTCTTAAGTGAGCGTGAACAGTGACCTGTAGACCCTGCATCCATGTCAGGCTGCACACGGTTGTCTTACTATTACTGATGAACAAAACAGCTCCGTTCCAGAGGCCCCGGGAGTAGTGTGTTCGTTTTTTTCTCTTAAAAGGCTTTCTAATTCTAGAGTAGTCCTTGGCCATGATGTCGCACCTCACACTAGGTCTGGTGTGTGGTAGATGTTCCGTAGAAAGTAGATGATGACCACGGTCAGCATCAGTAGCGTGGTTCTCCATCCTCTCTGTGGAGTGGGACCCACGGGCTTCTCTACAGAGCCCCTCTTATTCTTGGTCCTTGGCATCATCTTCCACAACTTTCCCTCCCTCTAAACATATCCTCTGTTTACGATTGCGTGGAACTTCTCGCCATTCTCTGCCCACACCATGACCTTGTATACTTCTGTGCTTAGTATACGTTGTTCTCTTGGCCGAGAAGACCTGTTTTCCTTTTTCTGCACGACAACTCCCGGATTTGGCTTCAATTAGCTACTCTGTGCAGTTTCCCTCATTGCTGAATGTTCTCTTCTGTAGCCTCTTTTGCCATCATAGTCCATACTGCCTGTTGTTGCCACGTCCGTGCCATTTGCCTGCATACACGTTTCCAGCGGCTCCTGCAGCACGCAGAATCAAATTCAGCATTCTCTAGCTTAGTCTTCAAGGTAATATGCCAAGCATAGAGTTATAACTTGGATTTACTCACCTGTGAAAATGTTCCCCTCTAACAGAATTGGTTGTCTTATTGTCCCACTGAACTCGCTTTGGTCATCCTTGCCCCTGCATTAGTGATTCTCAGCTTTAGCTCATCATCATAATCCCCTTTAGAACTTAAAAGCACGTGCAGAGGAGCATTTGAGACCTTGCTCCCTGGCGAGTCGTCAGTTTGGCTCAAATAACTCTGATAAAAATTAAAACAACAAAAACAAAAAAACACCATATGCAGAATCTGAGTATTTTCCTCAACATCAATTTTTGTTTGTTTTTAAGAAAAATTCCACAGATGATTTTAATGCATAGCCAAGGCGGGAAACCATTTTTCTATTCCATGTTTGTTTTTCCTTCTTGCCTGAAATACCTTTCTTCCTCTTTGCCTGCTAATTTTTTTTTTTCCTCTGTGCCATTGAGTGATAGCTACCACTGGCACAGTCCCAGGAAAAAGATGCACTCAAGGGTTTTCTTTCAGCACCAGCTGCCAAATCCTGGCCCCACTGTGCCTGCTAATTTCTATGTCCTCTTTAAGATCTGGACTGAAAGCTTTCTTTGCATCCTGTAGCTCACTTTGACTTTTTCTGTTATTTATTTCTGTCCTACCTACTCAGCCGGCGCTGGAGTACCGGCTGCCTTATACTGGTGTCTCTTTTTAGGTGTTTATCTTATTTTTCAAATAAGAACACCATGAGGATTTCTACTTCCTCATAGAACAAGAACAATTTCTTATACTAATAAATATCTGTTCATCGTTTTGTTTATTTGAATTGTTCTTTGTTTCATGTATTTCTTGTTTTTGTACCTGGTATAGTGATGGAACTACAGTAAGAATTTAAGTTTTTATTGAATAAATAAAATATTTATAGAATGAATAAAATACATCTACTTGAGTATAACAAACTTTAAATGTATATATTTACTTATTTATTATTGTATAATATTCAGATTTGAAATTTAGGTTTTCATAAACAATTCAATTCCATTTTCTATATTTTTCTTTAAAAATGTAAATAACAAAATTTGGAGAGCACATATACTTAGTTTATACTTGTAATTAAACAGGATTTAATCAAAGATCTCAAGTCAGAGTTAAGTGGGAATATGGAAGAACTGATCCTTGCCCTGTTCATGCCAAGCACATATTATGATGCCTGGAGTTTACGGAATGCAATGAAGGTACTATATGTCATTTACTTTGAATGTTTTATCTAATTTAAACACCCCCCCCCCAAATTGTGGCAGTTCTGTATTCATAGTGACAACTAAATCATACATTCTTTCATATCTCTGGCTATATAGAGCTTTTTAGGTCTGGAGGCCAAAGAAATATTTGATGGAACAGTAAGATTTAATAACTTACGGAGATTTTGTTTTTCTTTTGTGTAATTCTTCCTTTCATTATTTCACATAGGGAGCAGGAACTCAGGAACGTGTATTGATTGAAATTTTATGCACAAGAACTAATCGGGAAATCCAAGAAATTGTCCGATGTTATCAGTCGGAATTTGGGCGAGACCTTGAGAAGGACATTAGGTCAGATACATCAGGGCATTTTGAACGTTTGCTTGTATCCATGTGCCAGGTGAGTACAGTGTGGATGTTTGTGTGAGGGTGGAGGGAACATTCTTTGCTGCCTGTTGCCAGTGAGCATCCTGTGTTCCTTTTAATATTGAGCCCCCTTGGAATGCTGCCGCCTTTAAGAGGGACAACACAGAACCCAGTATACAAATTTCTCTGTAGTCACTATTGAGATTTATTTCTGTAGATCTGGCTTTTGAAAGGAATCAGAAATCAATTTGAAGCTGTGTCGTGGGATGGGATGAATCTGTACTTTTGAGCTGAGCCCATTAAGTTCTACCACTAACGACGGATACGCAGGAGTGCCATGGAAGTGCTGTAGGGCAAGAACTGTGTGAGGAGAGCCAGAGATGCAGAAAAGTGCTTCAGGATTCACAGAACTATTGTGATTGGCACCTTCCTTATTCTGATTCCCCAGATGTGCTGGAGAGGGGACAGAAAATTCTCCAAATAGGGTATTTGGAATGACATTATAAACACGCTTGGAACGAGACAGTGAGGGTTTATTTGAGCAAGATGGTGCAAAAGACTAGCATGCTGATTCAGTATCAGCAGTTACTGGCTGTCCTGCTAGTGCTCAAGGTCGGACAGCCCTGAGGGGTCTCGAAGTAGAGAGGCTCTTCAGGGCAAGGGAGGTAGTTGCAGGAAAAGCAGTGAGCCAGAGTGAGTGGGTGTGTGTGGACGTGAGAAAAGAACACAAGTGGATGAGAGGAAACGGAACTTACCGACAGCAGAGTAACGGAGCAGGGGAGGAGGTTGGCATTTAGAAAGAACGAGAAGAAGAAAACGAACAGGAACGGATTTAACACTAAAAAATGGTGAAGACTTTATATGAGGTGTGGAGTGTCTCTGCAGGGTTCCAGGCCCAGCCGGTGTATAAAGCAGAGGGACGGCTTCCTAGGAAACCGGGCCGTGCGTGTGTTTGAGTCTAAAGGCAGAAGGGAGGAATGTCCCTGAGCACCGCCTCCTGTGCTGTAGTCAGCTGTCCGCTTGGAATCTGCTCCTACATGCCCCTGTGCCCAGGGTTCTTGGGAAGACAGTTTCTCACCTCAGGGAGCCCTCTCCATGTCGCTCCTCAGACACCGAGACTCTAGACGACAGCCTTTCCCTTGTGTTTCTGTTTTGGAGTGAAACCAACTGCCCATCTAAGCTTTACCCTTGCTCAGGCTCACAGCTGCCTTCCTCCCGCCCTCCCTCCCTCTCCTTCCCTCCCTCCTACCCTACGGGAGAGTTTGGCATACAAATCGGCACAATCTAGCAGAACTTGAGTTATTTATACCTTCTTCTTAAAAGTTCATGCATCATTTTCATTTATACGTTCATAATAAATACTTAACGTATTAAGATTACACTTGGAAAGGAAAGGAAGTTTATGAAGCCTCCATATTATTTGTTCCCTCCCTTAACTTAAATTCCTTGAGGCAGAGACCTTGTTCCTACCATGTAGCACATCCCATCGTTTGTTTCTCTGGAGAATATGGGCTGGCAGAGAGCAAGTGCCCCCTACTTTAGGTTGCATTAATGAATACAAAGAGGAGTTAAGTGTAATGCATAGTGATCTTAAATCCTTGCTGAGGAGGAGAATAACGTCTTCATTTAAGTGGTAGTTTATGTCTCCTAGTAGAGATTTGTGTATGTTTGTGTGGTGTGTGTGTGTGTGTGTGTGTATGTGTATAAATCTTATGTATGTGTGTATGATTTTTTATGGAAACCTTTTCTGGTTTAATTTAGATCTCAAAGCCCTGAAAATTTCTCATTTTAACATAATCTCATTAAATCATGATCACATACTCTCAAATTCAAAATTGTCAGTGCAATAAAGTACTAGTTACACGAGTAGTTCGTTTGGAAATGAAAACTATAACGAAAACTATGCATGACAAACTCGATGCATTAATCTTTTTATTTAAAACTTTTTAAAATTGATTAGAGAGAGAGAGAGAGAGAGACATTAATGTGAGAAATAAATATTGATCAGCTGCTTCCCACACACACCCCCAATCGGGGCTCACACCCCAACCAGGGAATGTGCCCTGACTAGGAATTGAACCCTCCATCTTTTGGTGTACAGGATGACGCTCCAACTAACTGAGCCACCAGCCAGGGCTAGGCATTCATCTTTAATAAATGACGAGATTGGAAAGAACATTTTTAATAGGACTTGTACCGCTTCCTTCCAATTTCTGCCGCCTTTTGCAGGGAAACCGTGATGAGAACCAGAATGTGAACCACCAGATGGCTCAGGAAGATGCTCAGCGACTCTACCAAGCTGGCGAGGGGAAGCTGGGGACAGACGAATCTTGCTTTAACATGATTCTTGCCACAAGAAGCTTTCCTCAGCTGAGAGCTACCATGGAGGCTTATTCCAGGGTATGAGCCTTTATTTTGCAGGCCTGGCTTCTGTTTTAAGGTGTGGAAATATTTTAACCCGATATGTTTTGTCTGCAGGTGGCTAATCGAGATTTGTTAAGCAGTGTTGCCCGCGAGTTTTCCGGAAGTGTGGAAAGCGGTTTGAAGGCCATCTGTAAGATACTTTTGTGTTTTGCTTTATTTTGCTTCTAAATGAGTGAGCTTTTGAGTATTTTTTGTTCCTATTAAGTAATGATAATATAGCCTCCCGGGAATCTGCTTAAGCAAATGCTGAGCCAGTCTGTGAATGGTTGATGGCATGATCAGTTTGGGTTGTTTCAGAATTATTTGATGTTTATTCTATATGCCCTTCTTGAGAACTATGCAAGAGTGTCTGGTAGCCCTGGCCAAATAGCTCAGTTGGTTAGAGCGTCGTCCTGATAAGTCAAGGTTGTGAGTTCAGTCCCTGGTCAGGGCACATATAAGAATCAGCCAATGAAGGCATCAGTAAGAGAACAATCTCTCTCTCCCTCTCTCTCTCTCTCTCTCTCTCTCTCTCTCTCTCTCTCTCTCTCTCTCTCTCTCTCTCTCCCCCTCTCTCCATCCCTTCCTCCTCCTTTCTCTTTCCCTTTCCCCCTCCCTCCACCTCACCTTTCCCTTCCTTTCTCTCTCTAAAAATCAGTCAATAAAAAATTTTTAAAAATACATGTGTATATGTGTATATATGATATATGTGTATATATATATGTGTGTGTGTGTGTATATATATATATATATATGATAGATTGTAACATTTCCATTAAGGTGACTGGGAAAGCACTATGCAGCTATGAGTGCCACTACACAAAGCATCATTTTTGAGCCCCCTCCCCCCCCCCAAAAAAAACCCACAAACAAACAAAAAACCACTTCTCAAGTACTCAGCCCAAGGAGACTCTTTTCCCTTTTGGAATTCAATACCAAATCTCTGATGTCCGGATATTCAGCCTAATGAACGGGAACTATTATTCTCGTGGAGAATATAGGACTAAAGAGAGTATTAGTAACACATTGGTATTAGCAATTGAATGTCTTACAAATAATACTGTAGTATTGTAGCTAAATTATTAACGAACCATTCTCTACCATCTGCAGGAAGAGCCTTTGCTAAGTTAATTTTACTAAGAAATGCCTGTTAGATTTTTTACCACAGAGCCACACGGGCCAGGGCAGATTTCTGATTATTCTGAAATCGTTGCCCAGATCTGTGTTTTCTCTTTTAGATTACTTGTATCTCCTGTCCTCCTCGGGGAAAATGTTCTGTTTGACTCCTAGAATTCAGAACTCATCGTTGCTTTTCAGTGAGACACTGCTAAGGCCGAGTTGCTATATGTCTTCTCATTGCGAGGGGCAGCAGTACAAAGAATCTAAGCTGTTGCATCTGTGGAGAGGAGATGGGGTTTTGGGGGGGCCAGGAGGAGTCTTTTAGAATTGAAAGTAGCTCGTCTGGTGCATCTAGAAAGAAAGGTGATACAAATCCAGGGGGAGAATATTTTCAGCTTCGGGATCTGAGAGGATGGCGTGGGGAAGGGCCACGGGCAGGCGAGAGGTGAGCGGGGAGCCCGGGCGCGGGCGCGTTCCTGAAGCCCCTCTGCCTTGCAGTGCAGTGCGCCCTGAACCGCCAGGCCTTCTTCGCTGAGAGGCTGCACCGCTCCATGAAAGGCGCCGGCACGGACGACTCCACCCTGGTCAGGATCGTGGTCACGCGCAGTGAGGTGAGCCTCTCTGTTCTTGTCTGATCTCAGTTAATTTTGAATGTTGATTTCTTAAAAGCGCCTCAGTTGGTTGTCAGTCCCTCAGGAAGACGTTAAGGAAAAGCTGTCGTCGTCACTGCCTCCTGTGAGCAGTGGTCGTTGGTCCCTTTCCTCCAGGAGAGAGGCTTGCTTAGTGAAAGGGGCCGCTGTACTGTCCTCGGGGCGGCAGCAGCGCCAAGAGGTGTGCCCACCTGAGAAGGTCTGGAGGGACTAGGTTACTAGTTGAAGGCAAGTTGGAAGATGGTTTTTGGTTTTCATTTTACTTAGGTAAAAAATTGTCTAAAAGACCTATTTAATTTTATTGGTTATGAAAAATTCCTGAAATTTAGCATACCTTCCTAATCATAAAACAAAAAATTTATCTTTGTCTCTTTATCTAAATATAGCTTCAAATGTTTTCTTTGATTTTTAAATATTTATTGGGTATTTTTAATTGAAAGAAAACATACATATCCAACTAAATTATACTAAAAAAGGTAAATTATTTTTAAAAGGATAACCAGAATAGGGTGTTTTATCTTTTTTTTAAAATTGATTTCAGAGAGAAGAAGGGGGAGAGAGATGGAAACATCAGTGATGAGAAAGAATCATCAATTGGCTGCCTCTTGCACACCCCCTACTGGGGATTGAGCCTGCAACCCAGGCATGTGCCCTGACCAGGAATTGAACCCTTACCTCCTGGTTCATGAGACGAAGCTCAAACTCTGAGCCACACCAGCCAGGCCTGAATAGGGTGTTTTATAAAAGCTCTTTATGTATTTGTTCATAGACCTAAATTTTCTATGCAAGCTATTTTTTTTTTAGTTGCAATAAAATATACATAATGTAAAACTTACCATTTTAACCATTTTTTTTAATACAGTTCAGTGGCATTAAGTACATTCACATTGTTGTGCAACCACCACCACCAGAATTTTTTCACCTGAAATTCCCCAGTCGTTAAACAATAATTCACCATTCTTTCTCCACAACCCCTGGCAACCACCATTCTGTTTTCTGTCCCTATAATTGATTACCCCTAGGTACCTTAAATAAGGGGAAATATCCTGTATTTGTCCTGTTGTGACTGTTTTTTTACTTAGGATAATGTCTTCAGGGTTCATCCATGTTGTATCTTGTGTCAGAATTTCCTTCCCTTTTAGGACTGAGTGGTTTTATTGTCTGTCTATCCCACCTTTCGTTTATCCTTTTGTCGGTCAGTGGACACTCAGGTTGCTCCCACCTTTTGGCTGTTGTGAACGATGCTGCTCTGAGCATGGGGACATATACTTTGAGTCCCTGCTTTTCATTTTTGTGTATATATCCGGAAGTGGAATTGCCGTTGCATCTGGCAATTATATTTTGTTACTGTTTTAAGGAACCGCCATACCATTTTCCACAGAGGTTGCCTATTTTACAGCCCTGCTAGCAATCCACAAGGGTTCCGACTTCACATCCTTGCCCACACTTGTTATTTTCTGTGTTTTTGATGATAGCGATTTGATTATCAGATGGTTTTTGAATGACTAATACTGTTGGAATAATAGAGGAGACTCGTACCATCCTTACCCGATATTTTTACAGTCAGTGAATCAGACCTTCCTGGGTAGTTGCTAGCCATAAAGTGTCAGTCGCTTGGTGTTATTTTCCCTCTGCTTTGATTCTAATTAGGACCTTTTCACTATCAAAAACAATTCGAATAAATGCCTTGGCAGCTTTTTTCTGACATTAACAATATCATCTCTTGCGCGCAGATTGATCTTGTACAAATAAAACAGATGTTCTGCCAGATGTACCAGAAGACCCTGGGCACCATGATTGCCAGTGACACGAGCGGAGATTACCGAAAGCTGCTGCTCGCCATCGTGGGCCAGTAGGAGGGATTTTTTAAATGAATGAAGCTGTTCAAAGCTTATCTTTCAAAGCAGTGCTGACCTGCATGCAGCGAAGTCAACCATCATGTAACCAAACGAACGTTTTATTGAAGACTGTGTCAGACTTGTGCTTGTTTTGCACATGCGGTTATTGCCTTAATTCCAACGTTATTTTTCTCTCTATACAATCAATGTAAAGCCATAATCATAATGTAGATTTAATGGACTGTTTGTAAAGTATACTTTTCTCACTGCACTTATTCTAATCAGAATACCAAATTGAATAAAAATCACAACAATCTCTAATTCTGTGTAATGATACTGAATTTTTATAAAGGTTGCTAAAAATTCTGCCTGCCCAAGTCCTACTAGGTCCATCGGGCAGTTATAATTGATGGTATTTTAAAACTATTACTTAAAAAAAATAAATGTAGCTCTTTTAACCTAGAATAATTTACATCTTATCTATACTAATAAAAGGATAATATGCAAATGGTTGGGACGCCCTCACACACGACGACTGATCAGCTGGAGGCTGTGTGCGCAGCAGGTGCTTGTGGGTGGGGACTTGCAGCGTTGGGGACAGGGAGGCCTTTGTGCACCTGCGCCAGGGGTCCGCAGGCCTGTGCTGGCTCCGGCCTGCCTCTTTGGGGCAATCCATCAAGGAGCCCTGGATGGGTGGGCGGGGCCTACCTCTTTGGGGCGATGGATTGTGGGGCTCCCACACTGTGACAGGGCACAGGCCAGGCTGGGGGACCCCCCCTGAGTGCATGAATTTTGTGCACCGGGCCATTGGTTTATATAAATTAGTATTCTATACTCATAAACACTAATCTTTACACAGAGAAAATAGATTAGTATTGCCTGTAGCAACTTTTAAAAGGGAGTCAGTATTATATGCATAAAATATATAGCCTACTTTTATGTCTATTAAAACCCCCTAAATATCTTTATTGACCCCTGATTTAAAAAATATATATATTTAGCCCTAGCCAGTTTGATAGAGCAGTGGCCCTCGAACTGAAGAGTCCCAGGTTCAATGAACTTTTTACCCATTAGCAATCACTCCTCATTGCCCCTCCTGTCCAGCTTATGGCAATCACTAATCTATACTGTCCCTGTCTCTCTGGATTTGCCTATTTGGGGCTTTTCATCTGAATGAAATAATATAATATGTGGCCCTTTATGTCTGGCTTCTTCCAATTAGCATACTGTTTTTTAAGATCTGTTGCATAAATCAATATTTCATGTATTTAATGGCTGAATAATCCAGTGTTTAGATTATATATACATTTTATATCTTCATTAATTGATAGACATTTGGGTTGTTTTCACTTTTTGGTTATTATGAATAATACTGTTATGAACATTCTTGTACATATTTTGGGAGGATACATGTTTCACTTCTTTTGGCTATGGAACTAGGAATTGCTGGATCATATGATATCTTCATGTTTAACTTTTTGAGGATCTGCTAAACGGTTTTCCAAAGCAGTAGCATCTACCAGCAACAAATGAGGTTTCTAATTTCTCCTCATTTTCACCATCACTATCATTATCTTTCTCTTGTGTTTTTGTTTTTTAATGTATTTTTATTGATTTCAGAGAGGAAGAGAGAGGGAGAGAGAGAGAAACATCAATGATGAGAGAATCATTGATCAGCTGCCTCCTGCATGCCCCCTACTGGGGATTGAGCCCGCAACCTGGGCATGTGTCCTTGACTGGAATCGAACCCGGGACCTTTCAGTCCGCAGGCCGATGCTCTATCCACTGAGCCAAACTGTCTAGGGTATCTTTGTGGTTTTGATTTGCATTTCCCTAATGACTAATGAGCTATTTCCTTGTGTTTATTGGCCATTTGCATATCTCCTTTAGAAAAATGTCTATTCAAATACCTTGCCCATTTTTAGATTGTGTTGTCTTTTTATTGTTGAGTTGTAGGGTTATTTATATATTCTGGATAGTAGACACTTATCAGATATGATTTTGTTTTGTATTATTTAATGATACGGTCAGTCATGTGGGCTCAAGAAATTTATCTCCTGAGATGTACTCCCCATGGTCAACTTATCACCAGGAAGGGACTGGGCTGAGGCAGGTCTGCTGTGGCACGGTCTGAGATATGTGGGTTCTTGACTTCTTTAAGGAAAGAATTGAAGGCATGAGTCCAGGTGATTTTTAGAGCATGTTTATTAACGCTTGGGATAGTTAAACAAAGGTAGGCCTTAGGATAGAAGTGGACTCTGGAAAGGAGGTCACAGTAACAGAAGTGAGCTAGGCTGGGCTGCCTAGACTCAATAATGAAAGTCATAGACACAGAAGTGAGCCAAGATGGGGCTGCTTTTGGCTCGCTGAAAAGCTAGGCAAGAGGAGGGTCCTTGGAGCTTAGGAGAACGGAAGTTCACACCTGAAGAAAGGAAGCCCTGGGCACGCTCAAGGGAGAGCATGCAGGCACATGCACTGGGACCTTTGTCCTGAGGGTTTGTATCTGTTTGCTAGAGGTGAGAATTTTAGGGGAGTCTCAGGGGAGGATCTCAACAGACTGTTCCTCAGCCTTCCCGGTGTGTCCTCTGATATGCTGATGCACCGAAACGAGTGTATGGAGGGGTTTCCGATCATCCTCTGGTCAGCTTCACCTCTGTCTCGGATTTGTCTGGCTCTGATGTTTTGTTGTTGTTTTGTTATTTATTCCTCTGACTTGATCCATTCTTCCGTTTGGCTGGCACTAATGGCACTAACTGGGTCTCTGTTACCGCCCTGACCAGGCTGATTTAAGTCGCGCTCTCTGGTTGGGGAGGAGAGATGTAAACCATTTGTTCCTAAGTGCCCTTGTGAGGAAGGTTGGTTAGTAAGAAGCTAGGAAAATTCCCTGGCAAGTGGATTCGGGAAACTCAGATAGATGGCTAAACAGATGGCCCAGGAATTTGCAGCAGCTAATAAAATTACAAGGTCTTATCTTCCCTAACCAAGGACACTTAGAAGCAAATGGTTTACACATTCCAGACAGTGCAGAGGGCAGACCAACCTTGATCCCAGTCCCTTTCTGGTGACATTCTTTTTTGTTGTTGTTAATCCTCACCCAAGGTTATTTTTCCATTGACTTTTAGAGAGTGGGGGGGGGGGGGGGGCGGGGGGGTGGAGGGATGGGGAGACAGAGAGAGAAACATCAATTGGTTGCCTCCCACATGTGCCCCAACCAGGGCCAGGGATTGAGCCTGCAACTGAGGTATATGCCCTTGACTGAAATCGAACCTGGGACCCTTCAGTTTGAGGGCCCATGCTCAATCCACTGAGCCAAACCTGCAAGAACTGGTGACATTCTTTGAAGGTGAAACTGACCAGAGAATGACCATTTTGATGCATCAGCATATCAAAGGACCCAGCACACTCTCTCCCTTGAGCAGGCCTGTGCCTTCATCCCCCCTCTTTCCTCAGGCATGTATCTTTGCTTTCTTTTTCTTAAGCTCTAAAGGTTCCCAGGAGACTTGCAACCTGGGGGAGCAGTGAGCAGCGACAACTCATCTCGGGCTAACTCCCTGAACCTGTCTCCAAGGTCCCTCCTTTTGCCTCTAACTTGTTTCCTGAGTCCGTGCCGCCCCGCATGGGTCCCTTCTGCCTCTGTGATTTCCTTTCTCAAAGCCTGAGGCAGCCTTGCTTAGGCCTGGCTCTTCCTCACTCATGTTTCCGAAGGGCCAAGGCAGCTCTACCTAGGCTCACGCCTGTTGCTAAGATCTTGCCTCTTCCATCTCAAGCCCTTGCTTTGTTTCACTGCCCCCAGCTTTAATAAACGTACTCTCAAAACTACCTGGACTCATTTCATGAAATCTTCCCTGCGTGAAGTCAAGAACCCACACATCACAGGTTGTGCCAGGGCAGACCTGCCTTGGTCCTGGTCCCTTTCCAGTAACACTTGGTTAGGGTGGACGGGGTCTTGTGATTTATTAGCTGGCTGTTAACTGCTCGGATGTTTAACTGTCTCAGTTTCCCCATTCCACTTGCCAGGGAATTTTCCTAGTTTTTTACTAACCTGCTTTAAACTGAAGGCCCGAATTTTATGCATAGTAAGAGTCTAAGGCAGCGGTTCTCAACCTGTGGGTCGCGACCCCTTTAGGGGTCGACCGACCCTTTCACAGGGGTCGCCTAAGACCATCCTGCATATCAGATATTTACGATTCATAACAGCAACATTACAGTTATGAAGTAGCAACGGAAATAATTTTATGGTTGGGTCACAACATGAGGAACTGTATTTAAAGGGCCAGAAGGTTGAGAACCACTGGTAAGAGTTTTTTGTCAGGAGCGTCTCCCCTGCTCTGTATACCAGGAAGAACCTCAGACTGAACTCTTGGCTTCCCACACTATGACTTGCCTGTGTCAACCACTGCAGGGAAACCCTGGTTTCATTTTTCTACCAATGGACCGAGACCTGCCCTCCAATCAGAACTGTACAATTTGGATACCTCATGTGCAAAAAACTGACCTAATTCAGAACCTGGGCGGGAGCTTTTGCTATAAAAGGTGGCCCACCCCTTTGTCTTGGTGGAGCGCAATTTAGGTTGTTACTTGAATCTGTCTCCACGCGGCAACTCCTTTTGCTCAAATGCTTTTCTTTATTACAGTCTAAAATTAATTTTGGTTTACTGACAGGTGCAGCCACAAAAGGAAACACAATAGAGGCTCAGAAAAACAATTTATTATACTCAAATATCCTAGAGACGGGAGGCACTGCACACACAGGGTCACATGGGAAAGATGCCAGGGTGGTCAGGAGCCTGGGGGAGTACTTAGGAATGGCCTTTATTGGGGTGTCTGAGGGAAAGGCGAGGGAAGGCGAGGCAAGCAGATTAGGGTTGGCTAGTTTGAATAAATGTGGGTGGCCTTCAGTTGCCTGGTAACTGGCCCTGGGGTGATTAAGGTAGAGAAATGATAGCTTCTTGGGGTGCAGAGCCAGATACTGGAGTTGTAGCTCTGGATTGGCTAGTTTGCATATCAAAGACATGCTCCTGGCTGGGCCCTTTGCCATCTGTAAGAACTGGCTTCTCAGAGAGGGGATCTCCTATCTAGAATGCTTTTTTATGATGCAAATTAACATACAAAAAATCATATACGCCTGGCCTGTGTGGCTCGGTGGTTGAGCACTGACCCAGGCACCAGGAGGTTACCTGTTTGATTCCCAGTCAGAACACATGCCCAGGTTTCGGGCTTGATCCCCAGTAGGGGGCATGCAGGAGGCAGCAGATCAATGATTGTCATTGATGTTTCGATCCCTTTCTCCCTCTTTCTTCCTCTCTGAAATCGATTTTAAA